TATGGCCTTAATGTGTGTCATTCACTTAATCATTATGTACTGTCCATCCCTGTTTCTTGTTACCTTTTAAATTGGCAGTCTATTATGTCTGAGGTTAAGTACTGCTATCCCTGCCTTTCTTTAGTCCCATTGGCCTGTAGAATTATTTTCTAGACCTTTACCTTGAGTCTGTGTTTATCTTTCAATATCAGGTGCATCTCCTGGAGACAACAGAAAGTTGGATTCTGTTTCCTAATCCAACTAGATACTCTGTGTCTTTCAATTGTTGGACTTAGTTTTGTCCTTAACTTTGCAGTTGTATCTGTTTCTTTTTTTTTTTTTTTTTTTAGCTCATTGTGTATGTTCCTCATTTTGATTTAGATACTAGAGTTCCTTTCAATATTTTTATTGGGGGGGGGTGTCTAGTATTTGTAAATTCCTTTAATTTTTGTTTGACTTTAATGGACTTTATTTCTCCTTCATATCTAAAAAAGAGCTTTGCAGGATAGTTCTTGCCTGGCAGTTTTTATCCTTTTTTTGATTAGATCTTTTCATTGTCTACTTGCCTGCACTGTTTCTTCTGAGGAGTTCAATGCTAGACTGATATGGGTTCCTTTATCCATTATCTGTTTCTTCCACTTGCTAGCTTCAATATTCTTACTTTGTCTTGAATTCTTTGGATTTTCACTAATACATATCTTGGCTAGGTTTCGTATTGTTTATGTACTTAGGTGGTTTTTTTTTTTTTTTAGCTTTCTGGATTTATATACTTATTTCCTTTTCCATGTTTGGGAAGTTTTCTTCTGTTATTTCTTTAAATATGCCATTTGTTATTTTCTGTGTCTCCTCATCATCCTGGATACTCATTATTCTTATATTGTCTTTCCTGGTGGAGTCAGATAGTTCACAAAGTGATTCTTTTATTTTTAACTTTGTTTCTTTGTTTCTTTCTCTTTTTCTACTAGTTTCTTTGCATCTTCAAGTTCAGGGATTCACTTTTCATTTGGTTTATTCTTCGAAAGATCTTTATAGTATTTTTCATTTCCTCTATTAATCTCTTTCATCCTGCAACTCTGTTATTTTCTTACTTGTATTATCTTTTTTAATCTTTATGTTAATTTGTTTCTTAGGACATTCGGTTATTTGAATCAACTTCTCCCTTATCAACTTCTCTGTGTCTTTTTCTGTATTTTTTTAATGTCTTTATGATAGCAAGCTTGAGCTCTCTTTCTGATAGGAGGACTATCTTTGTGGTTGGGTTCCAGAGATTTGTTCTCTCCCTGTGGTGTAGTATTCCCTTTAAGACTTCTGTGGCCATTCATTGTCTTATTTTTGTCTCCTCATTGTTTTCAGGTCCTCTCTGCTATAGGTTTGTCTTCTGCTTGGTGTGGCTGCACCCCTTACTTAGGGCTGGGGCCACACATCAGATGACATCTGTGGTGGCAGGTAGGGCCTTTCATAGCCTACTCTGTGGCCTGCGCCAAGTCCTGCAATGCTGGTAGGTGGGCCTGAGCCACTCACCATTGGTGTCTGGGTTGTTTGCTGGAAGATGGGGCCTCATGTGGCCTAGTTTGGGGGCTGTGCTGTGTCCTATAGCACTGGAGAGTAGGCCTCAGAAACCAGTTTATTTTAGCACAGTGTCTGTCTGCATGATTGAGAATTTGGTTGTTTTATTCATGCTAAAGACCTTGAATTCTAATAAGTTTATTGCATGTCCAATGTACTAAATATAGTTTCTGGGAAAAGGGACAGGTCACTAGTGTTATTCAGCTAGGAACCAATGCATATGGCATGGATCCTGAGATTTGGATTGTCCCTCCTGTTTGCACATTTCCATCTGTTCTAGTGTTCATCTTTTAATTCCAGATGTGGAATCCTTGGTAGTTGGTATTCATCTCTTTAGGTGGCACAAATATTTGCTGTTTGGGAGTTTATGTGGAGGTAAGATTCAGAAATCAATTAACAAGAATTACATAAAGACTGGAGGCCACATAGTTTTCCATAAAATGTGGGTGCAATGCCTCACCTCTCTGCTTTGCTACAACTAATACTACCCATTGTTTGTTTAGATCATAATTCACCTTTCTTTTCCCTTAAAGGAATTGACTGTGTTTGCCTGAAATTTGATATTTGTGTTATAACTGAGGTCATGACATTTTCACAAATGATCTGGACTTTTGAAAGTAGAATTCTTATATACACTTATCGTATGATACATATCTAAAAATTTAAAATTCACTTTTAGGTTAACCATGTCTACTGTTGGAATAACAAAATATTTCAATCTCTCTTTGCCTTTCCTTAAATTCTGATTTGACTAGTTAAAAAATAACAAGACTTATTATTTTTTGACTGCATTATTTAAATATACTACCAGTTTTTTACTTTATGCTGTTCTAAGACAACAGAAGGACACTTGACTGTTGATTGGTTTCCTGGTCAGGCCATTTGTTTATGTTCCAATCTAATCTACGTTTATACCATTTCTTGGGCTCCTTCCAACTCAGAATAGTTATCATTCACCCAAACCCTAATTTTAATTATATTAACTAGTTTGTCATCTTCTTCCTTGAAGTTCAATCTTACCTAAACATGAACAGCCTTTTAAAATTTTGATAAATGAATTTAAAGGTGTTAAAAAAGATAATCTTTGTTTTCAAGAAGATTATGCTGTCTCATTTTAGGAGTTGTTTCTTTAAGGTTCTAGTTATCTTTTCCAGAATGGAAACTGAACCCATTTTAACATTATTTCAAAACCTGAGAGTTGTATACAATTTTAACAGGAATTTTCTCAAGTAACTAAATCTGTTCTTTAAAATCATTTAGAAGTTTAATTGTTATTTATTGAATTTTATTTCTAAAAATTTTCTTTCTTTTGTCATTTTAGACATACTTTGTGAACTAAATTTGAGCTTGTTTTTTTATTTGTCTTTTTAATGTGTGGTATTCCCCATTCCTTCTTTGTTTTGTGATGACGTATGTATGAATCTTCACAGCAGTGTCTGTGTTGACTTTCAGGGTGTGTGCATGTGTGTGCATATTTGTGTACATGCATGCATGCAGGTGTCTATTCCCCTTTGGGTAGTAGGATGTGGGATGAGAGGAGAAAGTAATAAATTCTTTTCTTTTCGTTTTTAAAAGATTTATTTATTTATGCATACAAGAACTGGGGGTATAGGCCAGAGGTGTGGAGGAGGGTGTGAGAGAATTCACCAGAGTGGGGAACAGAACAGGTGGATCTACTGAAATACACTGCTGAGGGGAGCAGCGGTCGAGACAGGAGAGGTCTGCTGTGCCATGTGGGTAGCTCCCTGGCTGGCGGGGATGGATCGAACTCGTGCTGCAGTGGCTGCAGATAGCTTCACAGTGCTGTGCTTAACCCTTGTGCCACCAGGGAGGCCCAATTATTTTCTTTTTTTTTTTTCTCCTCAGATTTACTAAGTATTTAATCTGTGGGGAAATAAGTATTTATTTCAATAACCTTAGGTTATTTACTTTTCCAAAATATTTTAACTTGCATTTTGGTTTATCACTCATTCTTTTTTTAAATAAATATATATATATTTTTAAGATTTATTTATTTATACAAGAACTGGGGTACAGGCCAGAAGTGCCGGAGGGTGAGAGGATTCACCAGAGTCAGAGCGGAGAACAGAACAGGCAGACTGACTGAAACACACTGCTGAGGGGAGCAGTGGGTGAGACAGGAGAGGTCTGCCGTGCCATTTGTGTATCTCTCCGGCTGGCCAGGATTGAACCTGCACCGTAGACGCTGAGGACAGCTTCACAGCACTGCACTCAACCTGCTGTGCCACTGGGGAGGCCCATACCACTCATATTCTATTCTTACTTTTCTTTTCTGAGTCTCCTCACCTTTCTCTTTACAATAGTTTAAGAGAATCCAAACTGTTTCTTTGCTCAAACTGACACCCCAGTGGAAGCTATAGCCAATGGCACTGGCCTCACAATGGGTAGGACTGAGGCTCTGAAAACATCTTTCATATGCTCATTTAAGTAAAATTGTTCCTTTGGTCTATATCTTGATGTTCTTTTCTCATATTGTATACTGCTTTAGTAATGTATCACATTAGTTGTCAAAGCTTTGTTAGTAATGTAACGATGTTCACATGTAATTTTGTAGGCCCTATCATTGTTAGTATAAAGTGGGAGAAAAAGAAATTAAATTTCTAAGTACTGCCTAAGCTGGAAATACATGCAGAGAATCAATTTATTAGAATCAGTGTCTCTATTTTTGGTAAATTGGTGTTACCAAATATATGTATGTAAACCATCAATATTATAGAATGAAATGTCATTACTTACACTAATTTAACATGTTTAAGGAGGGAAACAGTGGGGAAGAAAACAATAAATAGGCTTGGAACAATCAGTTTTCAATATTGAGGAAAAATACATTTATTTATTTTTTAAAGATTTATTTATTTTTATACAAGAGCTGGAGTACAGGCCAGAGGCGCAGGAGGATGAGAGGATTCACCAGAGACAGAGCACGGAGCAGAACAGGCAGACTGACGAAATACAGCAGGCGAGGCAGGAGAGGTCTGCTGCGCCATGTGGGACTCTCCCTGGCCGGCCGGGTATCGAACCCACACTGCAGAGGCTGCGGACAGCTTCACAGCACTGAGCTCAACCCGCTGTGCCACTGGGGAGGCCCCGGAAAAATACATTTAGACCTACATTTACACCAGATAAAATTGAGTTGTGTATGTAACTACATCGTTGAAAATCTAGAAGATAAAAGAACTGAATATTCTGTAGTTTATCTGGAGTCTTTAAACAATCAGAAACCTGGAAAAGTAAAATAGCATAGATTAGACTGCATGTGCTAATTTGTTTTGTCATTAATTGTAGCTCTGGGGTATTATAAGGAAACATTCCTATTACCTGTTTACAATCTGAAAATTTATCTCCTTTTTTACTTCATACCAACGAGAGATCTTTTGCTTTCTATATTAGTGGAACAAAGAATGCAATTCTTTATCTAAAATTTTATTCTATAGATGCATTGAAAATTATACAGGAGCCCGTTGTGAAGAGATTTTTCTCCCAAGCTCCAGCATCCAAAGTAAAAGTGACCTATTTGCAGCATTCGTGGCATTGGTTGTTCTTCTGGCAACACTGATCATTGGAGCCCTGTACTTCCTTTGCAGGTAAACCATATAGAAACATGCTTTTGAAAAGAAAAGGCAATGCATAAAGTTATTCTACTAAATAATTAATGTACTCTTTAGATCTAGATATTTTTGCAGATAGGGCTTTTTATTTAGAGTTACCTCTCTAATACAATTTTTGTTATTAAATTAATAACTCATTTTTGAAAGGATACTAAGCAGTCTTTTTTCCTTCGTTGTTGTCATCATCATCAATTACCTTAAGTTCTCTAAATTAGTAACATCCACACACATTTATAATCATGTCCAAAACACCTAAATGATTTGGCTGGGTCTATTTAAAATATATTTTAAGTGTGAAAGAAAAGAAACAATGTATATAATATGGGTACATTAAGACTTATGATTATCATCCAGGTCACCTCTTGGTGTCTACTACATGCTAGGCATTGTACTAAACTAAGAATACAATAGTAGGGTTATTGATAAAGAGATTTGCCTACTCTGTATGTCCTGTAAAATCTAAACTGTTACTTATACTCCAGGACTGAATTTTCTTGGAATTTGTGGCACACTATAGATATGGCCTGGGGCTAAGTTCTTCTGCATTTTAGGTTCTGGACTTCTTTTGTTGAAAAATGTAACTTGCAAATTGGGAATGAGATGAAAACCTCATAAGCCAAGAAGAAGAACCAAAAAGGGACCTGAAATAAAATAGTTCTCATCAACACAGTCATCAGAGGATTTTTACTAGCATTTCTGTGAGATGGACTATACTTTATAGCTGTTAAATGTAAATACGTTTGTAGTGTTAGTAGCTACCAAAAAATACAGTAGTGATATAAGATAGACAAATTATCTTAGATAGACAGTCAATTTGTGAAAAGTAGAAACTCAGAGTGATAAAAGGAAAAATTATTTATATGAAGCAGTGCTATTCATTGCGGTTTCCTTTCATTTATTAATTTTGGTCCTTAGATTTTTCTGAAATTTGTGAAAATAAGTGAATATAGAACTTATTAACTTTAAGAATTACCTGGCATCATAACTCATTATTACTTAAATATTTACTCAATTCACACTATACTATCAGATACTTGTAAAAAAGCAAAATGAAGCTAAGGGTCATCATAAAAGAGATGCAATGAACATGAGAAGTTCACACTCTAAGAAAGGTAACATCTATATAAAGCCGTTTTCATAAAATCCTCATTTCTGAATAGAATAACTAAGAATTAGAGAAAGATTGTTCTTATAAAATAGGTGGCATTATGTTTTATTCCAAAATATTTAACTTAATGTTTTATCTGATAATTTTAGCATCTGATTATTTCACATGTGAAAATATAAATACAGGTAGATTGTATTTTTCAAAGATGACCATGCAACATATTTCATTACACATGTTCTCTGCAATGTGACCTTTCCACTCACTTACATCAACAGGTAGTTTTTGTTTTCTTTAAATTCTTGAATAATGGGCAGGTATTATGACTGATTGACCATAGCATATTGTGGAAATTTAATATAACTTAAATTCCATTTACGGGTATAATGTTTTTATGACCTGGCAGCTTCCACATTGCCTCCCATAATTGGGATAGTCTCACAGAACCAGCCACCGTGTTGTGAGAAACCTAAATAACACAGAGAGCAAACCCCATGTGATTCATAACTACTGCCAGTCAGCAAACCGCCCCAAACATCCAGCTCAGTTGAACCTGTAGTTGATCATTGATTATAGTTGCAGCCTGAGCTTCCAGTTTTCTGCAACCACAGAAACCCTTAGCAAAAAAAAAAAAAAAAAAAAAAAAAAAAAAAAATGCCCAGCTGTCAAACCACAGAAAATCAGAGAGAAATTGTTTTAATCCACCATGTTTGGGTTGACTGGTGGATAACCAGAGAACCCATCTTTGAAATTAAGTTACTCTTGTCTTTAAGTTGTTTGGAAACATACTGAATAATAATCTATCCTTCTTTTTCTAGCCTTTTAAATATTTTGCTAGTCTGATATGCTGTGGAGAATACCAAATGACTAAGTCCCTCTTTAATCATTATAGTTCTAGCTTGGAAAGATATAAATTTTATCTGTTACTAATTGGATAAAAAGTACTTTTTGTGATTATCAGCCAGGATATGCTAGGTTCAATTGCAATGACTATTAACCCTAATAGTTTAGTGACTTAAATGGTGGTTGTGCCGAAGGAAAAAGAAGGCTCTGGAGGATCTCATAACTAAATTTAAACCATATGTCTCAGACAGACATCCCTTCTAACACAATCCATTGGCCAGAATGAGTTGAATATCCCTTTCAAATACATGAGGTGTCAGGTAATGCAATTCTATCATGTGTTTGTAAGTTAGAGAGCCAGAATTATATGTCCTATATAAAGACCAAAGGATTTACTAGGAAATCTAATAACTGGGAAATCTAAAACTGGGAATTAAGAGTGATTTTTTTAAATCCACAGAACTTTTATAGTGCTGTGGCTGTCCAAAAATGAAACAACTTTTTTTTTTTAAAAAAAAGATTTATTTGTTTATGCATATAAGAGCTGGGGTGTAGGCCAGAGATGCGGGGGCAGTGAGAGGATTCACCAGAGACAGAGTGGGGAACAGAACAGGCCAATGTACTGAAATACACTGCTGAGGGGGGCAGTGGGTGAGACAATGGGTCACCTCCCTGGCCTGGGATTGAACTCGTGCTGCAGTGGCTGCAGACAGCTTTATGGTTGTGACTTAGCCCCATGCACCACCAGGGAATCTCCCAAAATGAAACCACTTTCTAACCCATATGATACCCCTTAGGCATTCGATGCCACCGAGCAACAACGTTTCAGAAAACAGAACTCCTAAGACACTCTTTCTCTGTAGACCTGAGAATTTACTAATTTTTATAGTCTGAACTGCCTGGCTACATAATACCTTTTTGGTAGAATCTCTAGGTACAGAAGAAAAAGTGTATATAAAAACATAAAGTGGTGTTGAGCAAAGACAAAAGAAGCCTCCAGTCACCTTTTGTGATTTTCCATGCATATTTTGTGGATTTACATCTTGACTTTGCAGGTGATGGAGAGGGGGCATCCCCTAAATATGTCAAATAGTTCAGGCTGGAAGGGCCCCGATGTGGTTGACAGAGGCAAATGCACATCAATTCTTGAATCACATTTATTCCATACCTTAAAAAAGCATCTCTCAATTAATAAAGCAATTGCCGGGCCTCCCTGGTGGTGCAAGGGGTTAAGATACAACCTATGAAGCTGTCCGCAACCAGTACAGCACAAGTTCGATCCCCCCACCAGGGAGATACCCACATGGTGCAGCAGATCTCTCCTGACTCGCCCACTGCTCCCCTCAGCAGTGTATTTCAGTAGATCTGTCTGTTCTGTTTCCCACTCTGTCTCTGGTGAATCTTCTCACCCCCCCACACCTTTGACCTGTACCCCAGTTCTTGGATAAATAAACAAATCTTTAAAAAAAAAAGCAATCCAAACATAAAAGAAGGATCATGAACTAGAACCTGCAGCAATAACCAATAAGAGAGTCATATATTCAAAATCTACTTGTTGGGAGAAATAGACATGTAATATAAGATATATATGTATCAAAAATTGGGATCCTTAAAATGAGGTGTTATAAAGACCAAAACAGAACTCCAACATATGAAATATAACAATGATAATTTTTAAAAACCCTTAGTAATGTTTTAAAAATTAGGTATGTTTTTGACAAAAGGTTAAATACAGTGATAGACAGAATTAATGAATTGGAATATAGACAAGACAAAACTGCCTAGGAGGTAATTCTGAGAGAAAAATAAGTGGAAAATATTTTTTTAAAGATTTATTTATTTATTTATACAAGCACCGGGTACAGTCAGAAGCATGGGAGGGTGAGAGAAATCACCAGAGCCAGAGCGGGGAACAGAACAGACAGACTGAGGAAGTACACTGCTGAGGGGAGCAACCGTTGTGGCAGGAGAGGTCTGCGCGCCATGTGGGACCCTTGCTGGTGGCCGGGGATCGAACTGGCGCTGCAGAGGCTGCGGGCAGCTTCGCAGCCCGGCACTCAACCACTGCACCACCAGGGGAGGCCCAATAAGTGGGAAATATTAAAGAGAGGTCAAGCAAAGTCAAAAAAAAAAAATACTTGTGAATGTCTAACATGTTAGTTGGAGTTCCAGAAAAGAAAGAATAGGGTAGAGGCAGTATTTGAAAAAGTAATGGCTGCGACCTTTTTCAGAACTGTAATAGTCCTCCACAGATTCCAGAATGTCAATGAATTTCAAGCAGGATGAATAAAAATAAATTACATATGAGCACAATCTAGTAAAATTGTAGAATACCAATCTCAAAGAGAAAATTGAAAAAATGCTTGAAAAAAATGAGAGAAAATCTTCAAAGCTGCAACAATAAACTGATAGCTGATTATAAGTGGGTCAAGCAAAACCAAGAGAGAACGCAATGACATTTTCAATGTGCTGAGAAAAATTAACCATCAACCCAGATTTCTGTATTCATGAAAATATGTTTTTAATACTGAAAGTAAACTGAAGATACTTTTATATTAGCAAAACTTGGGAATTTGCCCTCAGATAGATCTCGGCCAAAGGAAATAAATCCTTTTGCATATGTGAGATGCAAGAAAGAAAATCAGAGAAAACCAATATGAGAATAAATCAAAACAAGTCTTGTATACCTTTCTTTTCTTTTTTTTTTTTTTAAAGATTTATTTACTTATACAACGCCTGTACAGGCCAGAGGCGTGGGAAGGTGAGAGAATTCACCAGAGACAGAGCAGGAAACAGAACAGACAGACTGACGAAATACACTGCTGAGGGGAGCAGCGGGCGAGACAGGAGAGGTCTGCTGCACCATGCGGGTATATCCCATGCAGGAATCTCCCTGGACAGCCAGGAATCGAACCTGCACTGCAGATAGCACTGCTCCTACGGGGGAGGCCCAAGCCTTGCATAATTTTTAACAATGATACTGTCCTGTATTTTGGAAAGAGGAATTAAAATACATGGCAACAATGGGTAACAAGTTAACAGGATTATGGTGAATGTGGACTGAGGTCTTGCATGGTGGAGGATGAACATACACATTACAGAGAGACCTTGATCTGTCAGAAAGAATATTAAAATGTCTAGAGTAGCAATGAAAAATTAATAAAGCACAAAATTTCAGACTAGAGGAAAGATCAACATGAAATAAGAAATGATCAATTGATTAAAAATAAAGGGAAAAAGGGCATTTATGGAGAAGAAAATGAACTTCCAAATGTTTGAGTTAAGCTAGCTTTTCATTTTTCCACTTGCCTACTTTCACTTGTGTGTTTCTTTCTTCTTTTACTGTCAGGAAAGGCCATCTTCCGAGGGCAGATTCAGTTCAGTATGATAACAGCCTGGTAGAGATAAGCAGTGCCCCTGCCCACCATGGTGAGTATATTCAAAATGCAATTTTAAAGTCCTAAATGAGATTACATGTAGAGATTTGGACTTAACCAGAAAAGGTTGGCCCTTACAAATTTTTCTGTCTTTTGTACTGAGCATCCTTTGTCACATGAAGATTCCTCATTATCAGTATTTCATAAGTTTTCTTTCCAAAGAAAACCATGTTATCTCAATATATGAAGTAAAGTTGTAAGCTACAGTGTGTTACACAATGTGAGCAACTGTTTCTGAAGAAGTACTTTGAAGAGGAGGACTTTTACTGGTAACAACAGGCAAATCTTTGGGAAACTTATAGACCAGTTAACATTTAAAAGCATCTTGAGAAAAGATGAAACAATAGGGACTAGACTTACCTTCTATGGGGAACAGTAAAAATAAATGCGCATAATACATAACTCCATGGCTTTCAAGACATTGGACATCAGAAAACAAAGGGATCATGATTTATAAGAGATTAAAAACAGACAGATGTGCTGATAATTACTTCAGAGAGAGAGAGTGTCCTGCCGTGGCATAGATTGGGGGTTCCCAGGCTGAGACTGGCAAACTCACTCAGTGAAGATGCAAGCTGAGTCCAGAAAGCTTGAGAATGGCCATACCTCTTTGAGTACTGGAAGAGAGAGAGAGCTGCAAAGAGAGAGAACTCCAGAGGCTTGTAGTTCAAGTGTCCAGTTCAAGTATCCGCACATATATAGAAGAAAAATTCTTGAGGTTAGGGAAGAATCTCTTGAAAGATTGCAAAGTAACAGTACTCACTCATGGTCAGGAAAAGTGCCTGTTCCTAATAGTAAGATTAAAATCCTCATTTTTCATGGGACTCCATGGTGGAGTCCACAGAAGAGTGCTACCCTAGTAGCAGGGAATAGTCAGCCCTAGATTTAGCACTGCTTCTGTTCTACCTAACAAACCTGAAAAGCCAGAACAGAACAGACCAAATTGTTTCCAATTAACTCATCCCCTATGGAAACTCAGTACTACCCCAAAAATCTAGAACCCAAGTAAAATTGACATCTCATATTGGCTCAAATGTTACCAGTTTGGCTTAACATGTGAAAATCCATCAACCTCGCTAACAGAATAAAAGATTAAAAACATGATCATCACAAGAGAAGCAACACCATGGACAATTTATTTATGAAAACTCCACAGCTAACATTATCATTGGAAAAACTGAAGACTTTTTTTCCTAAGATAAAGACAAGGATGCCCACCCTCATCAGTTCCATTCAACATAGTACTGGAATTATTAGCAGGAACAGTCCAACTTCCCAGAAAGAAAAAAAAATTCATATTAGAAATGAAGAAGTCAGATTATCACTGTTTCTAGATGCATGTAGAAAACATAAACACTCCATTAAAAAACTATTAGAATGAATGATGAATCAGTAAAGTAGCAGGATACAAGAATGAGCATGTGAAAATCAATTGGTACATGACAAGTGTCAACATCACTAATAATTATGGAGATGTAAATCAAAACCACAAATAGATACCACCACACCTCTGTTAGAATGGCTATTATCAAAATGGTATATTGGTAAGGATGTGGAGAAAAGGGAAATCTTTACACTGTTGGTGGAAATATATGTTCATCCATTATAGAGGTTCTTCAAAATATTAAAAATAGAACTATAATATGTCACAGCAATCCCTTTTCTGAGTATTTATGTCCAAGGGAAATGAATTCAGTTCATCAAAGAGATAACTGTGCTCCCATGTTTATTGTATATTATTCATAATAGCCAAGATAGTAAAACAATGTAAATGTCCATCAATGGATGACTGGATAAAGAAATAGTCATACACATGTACAGAATGTGTGTATGTACATACGTATACCTATAATGGGACATGAGTATTTCCTTAAAAAGGAAATTCTTCCTAAAAACCTAAATAAGGGACCAGGAAAAAGACTAATACAAAGTAAAAATCAAAATCAACAAGCAGCTATAAACCAGAGACACACTACAGGGTGGTGGGGAGAGGAAGGATTAGGGTCAAAATAAGGGGGGTGCAGTTATATAATATAACCAAAATGAAAATGCATACATTGTGCAAAAATGAAAAATGATGTTATTAAGAATTATATAAAATAAAATATTTTTTTAAAAAAGGAAATTCTTCCATTTGCAACATGGATGAACCTGGAGGACATTGTGCTAGGTGAAATCAGCCAGATGCAGAAAGAAAAATATTGCACATTACTTGTGAAATCTACAAAAAGTTGCAGAGAAGCAGAGAAAGAAGTAGAAGAACCCCAGTAGTTACCAGGGATCGGAGGTGGGGAAAGTGGGGAGATATTGGTCAAATTATGCAAAGTTAGTTAGGTTGGATTAATAAGTCTAAAAACCTAATGTATAAAATTATGACCATATTTAACAATACTGTATTATATCCTGGAAGCTTGCTAATGTGTAGATTTCAAGTAATTTTCCCTCACCAAAATATATTAAAATGGTAACTGTGAGGAGATGGATATTTTAATTCAATTGTAGCAGTCATTTTCCTTTGTGTATGTAGATCCAACCATCATATTGTATACTTGAAATAATTTAAATTTTTAGTAAAAATAAATATAATAGATTCAAAGTTAAACTTAAAGGGAAATTTAGCAGTCTGCAAAGAAGCAGGAAATATGTTTAAAAATGAGAAAAATTAATAAATTGAAACTGATCCAGAACTGAGAATTACCAAGAGAACATTAAAGTTATTATAAATATATATCATGTATTCAAAAGTTAGAGGTGAACTTAATGTAGTATACATATGTTGATTCTTAGCTATGAAAACCTGAAACTTATATAATGTTACAATGCAATGTCCATAGTGATACAGCGATAGAGACTTTTTGAAATTTTTTATTTTTTTATTTTATTTTTTATATATTTCTTACATTAGTTTTCATTTTTGCACAATGTATGCATTTTCATCTTGGTTATATTCCCCATAAAATTGCACCCTCCTTATTTTGACACCAATCCCTCCTCTCCCCACCACCCTGTAGTGTGTCTCTGGTTTATAGTTGCTTGTTGATTTTGATTTTTTTATTATAGTTATTCTTTTTCCTGGTCCCTTATTTAGGTTTTCTAAATTCCTGCTATGAGTGAGACCATCCAGTATTTTTCTTTTTCTTTCTGGCTTATTTCACTGAGAATGATCCCTTCCAGCTCCATCCGTGTTGCTGCAAATTGCATGTGTTTATCTTTTTTGAATGCTGAGTAATATTCCATGGTGTATATGTACCACATCTTCTTGATCCAGTCATCTATTTTTGGGCATTTGGGTTGTTTCCAAGCATAGCTATTGTAAATAGAGCTGCTATAAACATAGGGGTGCAGGTGCTCTTTGGAATTGATGTTTCTGTGTCCTTTGGGTAAATACCTAGGAGTGGAATTGCTGGATCATATGGAAGCTCTATGTTTAGTAGGTCAAGAAATCTCCTCACAGCTCTCCATAGTGGTTGGACCAGTTTGCACTCCCACCAACAATGCAGGAGAGTTCCTTTTTCTCCACAACCTCGCCAACATTTGTTGTTGCTAGTTTTTTTAATATGTGCCATTCTCACTGGTGTGAGGTGGTATCTCATGGTAGTTTTGATTGCATTTCCCTGATTACAAGTGATGTTGAACATTTTTTCATATGCCTGTTGGCCATTTGCATTTCCTCTTCAAAGAAGTTTCTTTTTAGTTCGTCTGCCCATTTTTTGACTGGATTATTTTCTTTGTTTTTGCTGAGTCTCATCAGCTCTTTGTAGATTTTTGTGATCATTCCCTTATCATTAGTGTTATGTGCAAAAATGTTCTCCCAGTTGGTGGGGTTTCTCTTTGTTTCTGTTATTGTTTCTTTTGCTGTGCAGGAGCTCTTTAATTTGATGTAGTCCCAGCTGTTTATCTTTGCCTTCACTATCACTGCTTTGGGTGAGGCGTCTGTAAAGATGTCTTTGAGGTGCATGTCATGTAGTGTCTCACCTATATTTCCTTCTATATATTTTATGGTTTCAGGTCTTATGTCTAGTTCTTTAATCCATTTTGAGTTGGTTTTTGTGCATGGTGTGAGGTAGTAGTCAAGTTTCATCCTTCTGCATGTAGCGACCCAGTTTTCCCAGCACCATTTATTGAACAAATTTTCTTTGCACCAGTGCATATTCTTTGCTCCTTTGTCAAAGATTAGTTGACCATAAATCTGTGGGTTTATTTCTGGATTTTCTATTCAGTTCCATTACTAGTGGAGAGTTTCCAGGCAATGCACAATTAGAGGAAATGGGGGCCTCCCTGGTGGCACAGTGGTCGAGCGCTGGGTTACGAAGCTGCCCGCAGCCTCTGCAGCACGGGTTCGATCCCGGGCTACTGGGCAAGGTTCCTACATGGTGCGCAGACCTCTCCTGCCACCTGCTGCTCCCCTCAGCAGTGTACTTCGTCAGTCTGCCTGCTCTGCTCTCCCCTCTGGCTGTGGTGGATTCTCTCACCCTGCCGCGCTTCTGACTGTACCCAGTGCTTGTATAAATAAATAAATAAATCTTAAAAAAAAAAAGAAGAGGAAATGGGTGGGTGGGGGGATAAAATATATAAACTAGCCAATATGCACACAAAAAGATACTTGACATCATTAATTATTAGGGTGATGGAAATGTGAACCACATTAAGATAAGTGTAAAGTGGTATACTTAACACCTACTAACATGCTGTAATCAAAAATGTTAACATCTAGTGGTCAAAATGTGGGAATAGGGCCTCCCTGGTGGCACAGCAGGTTGAGTGCAGCGCTGTGAAGCAGTCTGCAGCCTCTGCAATGTGGGTTCAATTCCCAGCCAGCCAGGGAGGGGTCCACTTGGCACAGCAGACCTCTGCTGTGTCGCCCTCTGCTCCCCTCAGCTGTGTATTTCAGTAGATCTGCCTGTTCTGCTCCCCACTCTGTCTCTGGTGAATCCTCTCACCCTCCTGTGCCTCTGGCCTGTACCCCGGTTCTTATATAAATAAATAAATCTT